GCAGTTTTATATATGGTGGCCTCTTGATAAGTTTGATTGCTGGGTATTGATCAAAACCTAAAGAAGTAAAGGCAATTTTGTGAAGTGTCTCGTGTATAGAAAAAAAAATGAAATTTATAAAAAAAGAACTAAGAAAGTAAGGAGCAGCCATGGATAAATGGGGAAAGAACTTTTCAGCATAGAAATAGCAAGTGCAAATGCTCTGAGGCAAGAGCATGCTTGGATGTCATGTTACAGAAAAGCAAGCAAGTGGCTGGCTCATGCTAAGTTCAAGTGAGCTTAAGGGAGAATGATTCAGGTCTATCATCCCTTTATATATCTTGGGATTCTTATTTGCTTTGAAATTGGTTTTCTATTTTAGAACAGTAATATGGTACATATTTTCTTTTAATATATAACATCCTCAAAGGAATCTGAGCAGCATCAAGGATCAAACACATTAATTTTCTGCATGACAAGAGTAGTCATGTTAAGTATAATAAATAGAGATTGTAAATCACTTAACATGAGTTCATTCAAGTTTGCTGCCATATGAGTCTCTGGTTGTTTACGTGTGGTACACAAAGTTAAAGAAGATAGGTCTAGATCACCTGGGGTCTTGCAGACCCTGGCAAAGACTCTGGACTGAAAGTGTAATGGTAAACAATGATACTTCACATCACTGGGATAGCTATAATTAAAAGACCGATGGATTAGCAGGCATGGGGCACATGCCTATAGTTCCAGCTACTGTGAGGCTGAGGCAGAAGATGCTGAGCCAGGAGTTTGAGGTTGCTGTGAACTAGGCTGATGCCACAGCACTCTAGCCCGGGCAACAAGAGTGAGACTCTGTCTCAAAAAAAAAAAAAAAAAAAAAAAAAAAAAAAAAAGACAGATGGTAAGTGTTGGCAATGATGTAGAGAAGTTGGAACACTTATAGAGTGCTGATGGTAATGTAAATGGTGGAGCCACTTTAGAAAATAATCTAGCAGTTCCTCAAAAAGTTAAAGTTACCACGTGACCCAGCTGTTTACTCTTAGGTATATACCCAAAAAACTGAAAACATGTGCCTACAAAAAAAAACTTGTATATGAATTTCATAGCACCATTTTTGTAAGTCAAAAATGGAATACTATTCAAGCCTTAAAAGCAGGCCGTGCGGTGGTCACGCCTGCAATCCTAGCACTCTGGAGGCAAGGCGGCGGATTCTCAAATCAGAGTTGAAACCAGCCTGAGCTAAGCGAGACCTGGTTACAAGAAAAAAAGAGCGAGACCGGTTACAAGAAAAAAGAGCGAGACCCCATCTCTACTATAATAGAAAGAATTAATTGGCATATATATATATATATATATACACAACACAAAAAAAAATTAGCTGGGCATGGTGGCACATGATATATCCAGCTACTTGGAGGCTGAGCGCAGTAGATCGCTGAGCCTGGAGTTTGAGGTTGCTGTGAGTGTGAGCTAGGCTGACGCCACGGCACTCACTCTAGCCTGGGCAACAAAGTGAGACTGTCTCAAAAAAAAAAAAAAAGCAATGGAATACTGCTACATGTTACATGCTAGAACCTTGAAAACATGCTAAGTCAAAGAAGCTAGTCACAAAAGATCATGTTGGATCATTAGACTAACATGAAATGCCCAGAATAGGCAAGTCTATAGTTTAAGTAGGACTGTGGTTCCCAAATCTGGGCCACAGACCAGTATTGGGCCAGTATTAGCCCAATACTGGTCTGTGGGTTATTAGGAACCAGGCCACACAGCAGGTGAATGAAGCTGCTCTCCATGGCTCACATCACTGCCTGAACTCTGCCTCCTGTCAGATCAGTGATGTAAACTGCTCATAGGAGGGACCTAGGTTGCAGGCTCCTTAGCAGAATCCAATGCCTGATGATCTGAGGTGGTGATGCTGTTGCTGGGGAACAGCTGCAAATACAGATGGGACCCTCTAGTTGCAGGAAAACAAGCTAAGGGATCTCAATAATTCGGCATTATGGTGACTTATAGTATGAGGTTTCTCTTAGGTGTTATAAAAAATGTCACCATAGCTCACTGCAACCTCAAACTCCTCGACTCAAGCACTGTGTTCTCCCAAAGTGGTAGGTTCACAGGTGTTCGCCACTGCAACACAGCCAGCCACACCTCGATATTAAAATTTTTTGTAGGGATGCAGTACTGCTATGTTGCCCAGGCTAGTCTTGGAAATCCTGGCCTCTAGGCATTCTCCTACCTCAGCCTCCAAAAATGCTGGGATTACAAGCATGATCAGCTGGCCCCAATGTACTATCTCGATCTGGTTTTGAGACAGTCTCACTCTGTTGCCCGGGCTAGAGTGGCATGGTGTCTGCCTAGCTCACAGCAACCTCAAACTCCTGGCCTAAAGCAATCCTCCTGCCTGAGCCTCCCGAGTAGCTGGGACTACAGCCACCATGCCTGGCTAATTTTTTCTATATATTTTTAGTTGGCCAATTAATTTCTAATTTTAGTGGAGACAGGGTCTCACTCGTATTCAGGCTGGTCTCAAACTCCTGACCTTGAGCAATCCTCCCACTTTGGCCTCCCAGAGTGCTAGGATTACAGGCGTGAGCCTCCTTGCCTAGCCCTCAATCTGGTTTTGTTGAGCAAAATGAAATTAGGGGCCAACCACCAGGTTTAGCACTCACTTTTACCCTGAACCTGTGATTTCATTCCATTAATGTTTATTTACCTCTGGTTGGAAGAGGTCATTACAGTACAGAGGAACAAAGGGGCACAGATCTGTCTTATGAGCTTCCCCAAAGAATGCAGACACTCTTCTTTACAGTGTTCTGCCAAATTCAGGATTTGCCACTGCTATTCTAACACATGCAGTGGTACACTCACCTGCAAGGCAGGGTTGGCAGTTCCTGTCTGGGTTTTTATGGGAGGAGGTACAGAGAATTTTCCAATTAACAGGACCACCCCCATGCTCTGAAATAATCTACCTTTTCCTTGTTATCATATTTCTTTACAGACACAAAGAATACACTGCACAAGGTATACTATCAAAATCTCCACGCTATTGGTTTAACTTAGGAAAAATGTATAACCTGATCGCCAAAGTCAGCCCAGTAACAACCCATTCTCCAAATGGATTTTTCAGAAACACATAGAATACATACCCCTGAAGTTCTTATTTCTGATTTACAGTACAAACAAACCATTGTCACACAGATGAAATAAAGTATATACTTTTCTCCACCCTCTGGAGGGATTCCCACAAGTTCCTAGAAATGTACTACAGAAAGAGGCACACTGGGTAACTGGCTTACCAGCAGACCAATTACAAGGTAGGAAGTTGAAGATCTGAATATGAATCTTGGAACAGCTGTGAAGTTATCCAAGTGTGCATTTCCTCTTAAAGTCACTGACAAAGGGTATGAACACCTCAGTCTAAGTCACTTCCCAATGTGCCCCTCACCAACAATGTTCAGTTGTCCCTTGCTCTCCTACAGATCTTCACCCATTTTTAGGATGTCAACTTAAATTTGGCCAGGTTGAATTCACCCAACACTCAGATGCCTCCCCTTCCTTCCTTTTCCCACAGTTATGCAAATTGGGGAGGCCAAAGATAAGACTACAAGAGGTAAAGTTTAATTCACACAGATTAGCTTTCTTTCAAAGGAAAACATTATGTGACAATTCACACTTGAACACCTGGTGTAACACAAACTTCCACTCTATCTGGCACAGACATATTCAACATGCTATATTAAGTATAATCTCCATTTTATTTTTTTCCAACGGGTAGTTTTTCTTCAGTCCTTAAGGACTCAACTCCTTACATAGGCTTTGGTGGAGGTCTTGGAGCAGCACCCACTCCGTCATCAGGGCAGCACCCACTATTCTCTCATTACATGGGGACGTAGCCCCGAAGAGCTAGGAAGTCAACTAGAGCTCGAAGCACTTTGAGAGGCTGGAGCGCAGAAAGATGAAAAATAGTCCTGATCCCCCACCCCACGTTCCCATGCCCCTCTGTTCCCAATTGGCACCTTGGCTCCCAAGTCTGTGCTCAGACGACAGGGTTGCACGATCCTAACGCCCGCCGGCCCCCTGGAATATAAAAACGGGGCACCTGCCACACGCGAAGACACAAGCCACCACTGAACAAGCAATGCAGTCAACGAGACTACACGACGTTTGAGCAGCTCTGCTCCTACGGCAAGACGAAAAGATATATCAATCCCTAGAGGAGCGATCCTGTCAAATCGTAGGATTTGAGGACTCATATTATTAGGGGAACATCAAG